TGTACATATGTGCATTGCACATTTAGATCATAGTGATTTCTTTTCTAATGTATTACTCTAAAAAAAAAAAAAAAAAAAAAAAGGATACGTACTTATCTCTGGATATTTGCACAACCATAAAAAAAGAAAAACAGTCAACATTAACTGCTCTGTTGTGCTTGAAGGGAAAACAAATTAAGAACAATATTTTGTCCTTTACCCATTATGCAATCTCTTCATCTATGAGACAAATTTTGATTTGCAATGAGAAGTTAATTAGAGGTTTCAATATATGAGAATTCAGGTGAAAAAAAACTAATCAGAGGTAGCTAATGTATTGTGATAAAAGGAATACTATAATGACACTTGAATATGATAAATATGAAAAATAGAACATTCATAGATTTCATAGACATCAGGGCTGGAAGGGACCTCGGAAGATCATCGAGTCCAGCCCCCCGCCCAAAGGGCAGGAAGTCAGCTGGGGTCATAGGATCCCAGCAAGATAAGCATCCAGTTTCATCTTGAAGGTGTTCAATGAAGGCGCTTGAACCACCTCCGGTGGCAGGCTGTTCCAGACCTTGGGGGCTCGGACAGTAAAGAAGTTCTTCCTTATGTCCAGCCTGAAACGATCTTGAAGTAGTTTGTGACCATTCGACCTCGTCATCCCTTGGGGCGCTCTGGTGAACAAACGTTCCCCCAGATGCTGGTGGTCACCCCTGATAAACTTGTAGGTGGCCATCAGATCACCCCTGAGCCTGTGCTTTTTCAGGCTAAAGAGCCCCAGGGCTCTCAGCCTGTCATCGTAGGGTCTGCTTCCCTGACCTCTGATCATGCACGTGGCTCTTCTCTGGACTCTCTCAAGCTTCTCCACATCCTTTTTGAATTGTGGAGCCCAAAACTGGACACAGTACTCCAGCTGCGGCCTCACTAAGGCCGAGTACAGGGGGAGAATGACGTCCCGGGATTTGCTTGAGAGCAAAAATAAAAATGTTTGTGCACTCCCTGCTCCTCCATTGCAGAAATCTATTTTAATCCGTTTTTAAAAACACACTTAGATGCTTTGCCCCAAAGTTTGGTGTCATCGGCGAACTTGGCCAGTCCACTTCTGACTCCAGTGTCCACATCATTAATGCAGATGTTGAACAGTATGGGTCCAAGGACAGAGCCTTGGGGGACCCCACTGGTCACAGGACACCACGATGAATGACTTCCATCGATTACTACCCTCTGGGTCCGACCCTGGAGCCAATTTTCCAGCCAGTGGATCGTGGAGGACCCAAGGCGACAATTGGCCAGTTTCTCCAAGAGGCGATCATGGGACACCAGATCGAAGGCTTTTTTGAAGTCAAGATATATGACATCAATCTCTTCTCCCTTGTCCAGGTGATAGGTCATCAAATGAGATTGGTCAAGCAAGACCTACCCGCAACAAACCCGTGCTGGCTATCCCTTAAGATGTTGGCGTCGGCCAGTCCATTAAGGATGGCCTCTTTAATAAACTTTTCTAAGATCTTCCCCGGGATAGAAGTCAGGCTGATGGGCCTATAGTTAGCCGGATCCACTTTCCTCCCTTTCTTGAAGATAGGCACCACATTGGCCTTCTTCCAGTCTTCGGGCACTACACCAGAGCGCCAAGAGTTTTCAAAGATCCATGTTCAATTCAACAAGTGCCAAGATTCAATTTACAATAATTATTTTAGAGGTGAAGCAAAAAGCTTTTGAGCTTTAGAAAAAAACAAACACCATCTATATTCAAAAGTACCCTGTTAAATAGAGTAATTGCTTTGATATTCTTCCCACAATTACTTCAAACTAGCTTGAGCAGAGTTCTGAGGAGGTATCAGCCAGGTTTAAGATTATTTAATAGTACACGTATACTGGAATCAATAATAGTTTCTTGAGATTAATGTATATTTTTTACATTGTCAGAATGTGGCAATTGTGGGAAAACACACTGATTATAACTTAATTAACTGAGAAATGGCATTTTTGGACACCAAAAAGAAAAAAAATGAAACTTTTTAGCAGATATATGGAATGCAGTGGCCTGCAAATTTTTTTTTCACCATTGTAAGAACTGGAGTTTACGAAATTTATTCTGTTAAAAAGATTGTCAGATTATAAATGATCCCCAACAGCCTGTGTTGTTTGAAAGTATTAGAATTGTAGGCTATTGCTAATTTTCACAACCTACAAAAAAACCCCCAAACTAAAACAACAACAAACAAACAAACAAAAAGAAACATCCGTTTTCAAGGGGAAAAAATAGTGTAACACAAACTTCTGATAAATATACAAACTGCACAAAAAATGAAAAGATACAAATGTTCCCTCCCTACTCCACTGCCTATAATAATTCCATTTTAATTCTTTAGACTTTTTAGCGAATAGTTTAAATTCTTCAGTATTCTCAATGGGATTAGACAAGAATCTCAAAGTCCTCACTATCACTTTAACTAACAGTTTTTCATTCACAAACTATTCAAATATTAAAGGAACACTGAAATAGATTTCACATTTACATAAATATTTTAAAGAAAAAGATATTCAGGAATAGGCTACTACCAGAGACATATAGTTTAGGAGGGGTTGGGTATATTTGCTTGTTTTTTTCCCTATAATTGTTTATAGTTATAAATTAATGTTTTAATGCAGCCAGCAATGTCTTTTTAAAAAGACACTTAAGACTGCATGGACTAAAGTGAAATCAAACAATACAAGCACATCATTATGATGGTATTGCGACCAACATGGAGATGGTCTTTCATATCTGGGATCACTATCTCGGCCTGTCATTTCACTAGTGTCTTCTGTGTGGACATTTCAATTTAAGTGTTTCCTGGGACAGGGCCACTGGAGTGGGTCAGACAGACAAGAAGTTATAACTCCAGATGTTTGGCTATTGGTTCTATTTATGAATGCGTAAGCAACATCAGAATAATTAGCTTGGATGACTTGTTTAATCCCAAGAAAGTACACAGAACTGGTTTGCCTGTCATAGGGCAAAGTCTATCAACATAGAAGAAAGAAAAACTACTGGAGAACAAAGACAACAATGGGTGTTTAAAAATATTCTCAAGGATCCAGATTATAGGTGCAGAAGTGGAGTGTAGACATATCAGAACTAGCAGTTTAACCCAAAGATCAAGGTAGTTTAATTCACCCTGTTTCTCGGACAGATTGTGCAGCCAAACCTGACATTCCACACTCTTCCCAGCATCTAGGCTGGTTAGCCAAAGCTAATTAAAGGGCATGTCTAACACTGTAGTCAACATACTCAAAAGCTCATCTGAATCTGAAGGAGCTAAGTATAACAGACTTTTAGGTGAGGTAGACCTATGTTCAGCTTGTCAGAAAAAGAAAATCAAAGCAAGAAAAGGCATATTAATCTTTTTTTTCTGGTTAATGCAATGTTGATCATTTAGGGAATAGGATTGCATTATTCCCAGGTACCAGATTGTTGATCCTGTTCTTCTTTACTGAAAAGAATGTGCAAGAAAAACGAATGCACCCCGGACACAGCCTGGTGCCAAAATAGCATTCAGATACACATCTGTATCTATGAAATAAAGAAGTGCTATACTGCTGTTGACCACAACTGGGAAAGATTTCACATTCCCAGTCAAAGCTCAACCACTAATCTTCCTTTTGTGTGGTGCCAAAGCAGCTTATAGGGCTATTAAAATGATGTGTTATTGTTTCTTAAGTGTTAGCACTTACATCAGGAACTAAGGTTTGGTAATACGGCTGGGTTTCAGTTGTGCGAGACAGTACTTTTTAGTGTGATAAATAAAGGCCAAGGTGTCCCTGGTGTAACAGCCAACATTAACATAACACCTGGAAATGTAGCAGAAGAACTATTTAAAGCCACCTCTTTGGCTTCCAACTGCTGCAGATCATTCCCAGTGTTTTCTTCTTTTAGTGAAAGTTTAATGATGATTAAATTCAACAATAACCTTTCATGACTTCCCTCTCTACCTCCCTCCTTCCCTCCCACTCCCAGATGTTAACATCTCTACAGTTCTTCCCTGTTCACAAATCTAAACTGAGAAAGAACAAACTGAGTTAGAACAAAAACCTCAAAGGTAATCAAATTGTTTTACACTATTGATCTTCCTGCCAAATACTGCATTCATCACTGTATCTTAATGGAAGGACACTCCTTTCTAAAAGACATATGTAAAGACATAGGTAGCCAAAACCCTACCATATATTAAAACTGCATTATTAAGTCAGTCAATTAAGTCTGGTCAATTTAAGACCAGCTTTTAAAGCTTAGAAAATAAGCTTTTATTATAAAACCTAACATCAACAAAAACTGTTTGTTTCTGTTCTGGTTTGGGGATTTTTTTTTTTTGTTTTGGTTCATGTTGTTCCTCTGCCTATTTGTTGGTTTTAAAATTCCGTTGAAATAGTGTCTTTAAATTATCTTACAATCTGCTGTATTTGTAATTCAAACACTGCAGCATCCTGTTAGAGCAGGAGAACAAAAATTAATTTGAAAATGACATATGAAAATGAAATAGACTATTCTCTTTGCCCAAATGGAATAAAGCACTGGAAGTAGGAGATATCAATAGTGAAAGGAAAATTATATTATTAAAATAAATTCTGACCATTGGAAGCATCCTTGTTACCCTCAATAAGGATTTTATTTTTTTAATATGTTATTTCAGTGACTCCCAGCTAAAAAGTTATTCTAAAGTGCCAGCACAGCTGTAGGTTACTTAAGTGATAATCAAGTTTTTCTTTTTTTTTTTTCCTGGAAAGGACTGTATATTTATGGTGTTTGCTTTTTTAAAAACACTAGCAGAAAGAAGCATAAGAGTGTGAAAGTGTGAGAGAATAGGTGTGAGCATGTATTTGGTGGAGGCAAGAAAGGGAATGTGAACAAGGCGGCTCCTTGTAATTATCAACAGTCCACTAAGAACATCCAAGAATTCAAGGGGTTCCTTAGATTTTTATTTTTAAAAGCCAGTCTGGCATACTTTCAAAACATTCTCTATTTCTTAACCTACCTCTTTCTTCTCTCTGTCAGCTGTCTGCAGATCTCCTGCCACCGAAAATTCAAGCTCCCCAGTTTTTCCTTCAGTAAGGTAGCATCTGCTGTTGATGACTGCTCAATAATCTGTTCACCAGTTACGTTTAGTGTTTTGACAACAGTTTGCTGTCTTCCAATGCCATCCTGGAGTTCCTGAAAGATATCAAAAAATGTCAAAAATGAAAAGCCATATCTTTTTATTCAAGGATAGATCAAAAACACTTTATTACATACACTTCTGACAGAAAGAGCTTTGTGTGAAAGTTTCTTTCTACTCCAAATCCCAAATGCATAAATCCAAATGTGACAAAACAGATAGGTGCCTTTTATGTTCCCATAACATATACCTTTTCAGTGCAGCTCCTTATTTCCTTTCCTTTCTTTTTTTTTTTTTCAAATGCTCTAGCATGCTAAAGAATGTTATAATGTTCTACAGATCAATTAGTGGGAAAGTCTCTTGAGCAAATTCAATTCTGTCCCCCCACTGGGATGCACCATGTTTAATAGCCTACCCAGTGATACAAAATTTAAAAGCAAGCAAAGTATTTGGGTTCCCTATTAACTGTCAATATGAGCATGGAAAAAATAATACAATATACGAAGAGATTGTTTACATAGCTGTAGTACTTTTCCAAATCCCTACGTAGACTAGATCCAATCCCAATTGCAAGAGGCATAATAATCTATTCCCTTACTCTTCAGAAAAAATTGTATTCCTGAGGGAAACCTTACTTATCTTGCTTCTGCTCATACACACTGAACTGCAAAATTACTCAAAATGTACCCAGATACTGCAGATAGACAGTTTGATACCCTTCACTGAACATACTTGGAAATTTTTTCTGCATCTTTCATCACTAAAAACTCAATACACAGTTTGTCATCTTGATTAATCATTAAGAAAGTGCAATCTTGAAAGGTGACTTAATTTTGCACTTTGTGTTACTGAATATAAAGTGTGTGTAGCCATTAAAACAGAATAGTCTTATCAATGGAGTTAGAGTCATATATTTAGATAAATACATTTTCATAAATAAATATATCACATCCCTTTGGTCTTCCTTATTTTTCAACACAACGAGAATGACTTTTCCTTCTATAAAATTCAAAATTAATAACCACAAAACTGTAAGAGAGACATTAAACAGGTTCTGATAAAGTAGATACAAACTGAAAGAATGTTAAAATTACTTTGCAGTTTTCTTTGGATTTTATTTTTTTTAATGAGGCTTCTTAGCTAAATAAGTATACTAGAGTTGTATTACCCAACTTTATCTAAAAGGGTTGGTAATGATAAATGCAGGATTTTCATATACAATTTTGCAGCCAGAAAGTGAATTTCACATGAAGTTAACTTATTGTTATTTTTCTTTGCTTGCACATGAAGTTAACTTATTGTTATTTTTCTTTTTATATAATGAAATATTTAACCATTAAGATAAAGTTAATCTTGTTATGATTTCCTTTTTATAATAATTTGATCAGCCATTATTAGTGTTCTGGAATTGACCATCTATTTTAAATTTCTTATTGCTTAGCATAAATATATTGAACATATTGGTCTCATGATTTTAGATATATTTGACATATTGCTCTCATGATTTTAGAACTCAAATTTAGTATAAGGAAAATGCTTATGCAAGGTTTGTGGCATGTCTGGCATATGTGGAAAGAGGTAACAAAAGAGTGAATGATGTATGTATGTGACAACGTAAAGGAAGACAGCACTCTTGCAGCAGGTGAAAATAGCCTTCTGTGGTTTAATGGTTAAACCATTAAAGGCTGTAGCGACGTCAAGTCAGCAGCTAAGGATTACCAAATACTAGATCATGCTTCACTCTCATGGCTGAAGACTGCAAGCAATGACCCCACTGAAGATTGCAGACCATAAAGCCAGAATATCATATCCTACCAATCCCAGCCTGCCAACAGGACAAGGAGGATGACCTTCATGTTTAACTCAGTGGAATCCATAGGCTTGTATGGACAGCTATCACTACAAAAAATGAACACAGAAACAAGGCTTTGGGTCTTTTCTACCTACAAGAAGGAGTTTTGAGCACATCCAACAAGACCTGACGCCAACTCTGATGGTCAGCCTGGTTGGCCAGCAGACTGACCTGAGCAACTTTAGCACTTGGTAACACCTTAACCTTTGCAGGACTGTCTAACGTCTGTGTGTGTGCTTGTCTCTTTTGAATGAATGAATGGATGAATGAATGAATGAATGAATTTGCATGGGAATGAGTGAAGCAAACAACCTTACTGTTCTTTATTCTTTTCATGTTGCATGTTTTAAGTTTTATGTTCTAATAAATGAGGCATTGTGCCTTATCCCCAATAAGATTTCTGCTCATTTTTAATTCACACTGTACACCCTGTGCACACAACAGTCTTCACCACCCCTTTTTATGGGGCAGACTACCTATGATCTCTAATGGGGATGGCATGTCCAGGCAAGGTCAGCCCTGCTCCAGAGGGCTCCAGATGTTCATACTGGGTATGTGCAGCCTTGGCACAATGGTGGGTTGCCTCATCTTTTGTGTCGTGAATGCTGAGAGTGCTTCTAATGGCTGGGTCTCTGGTCCAGGTATTGGTTTTGATGGTGGGGTGATTTAGAAGGGAGTCCTGCTATCATTGTGTTTCACTCATCCATTCACTCTTTTGTTTCAGGCATTCAAGGAAAACCAATTTAGATAGGAGGGGTAGGTATGAGTCATAGTTGCAACATATTGTATAGGGCAGGGGACACAAGGTGGAGGCTTGACATACAAAGTGGAAACTTGACATTACTTTACAGACACAGGCTTAAACCATACAGTATTAATATGAAACAATAAATATCAATGCAAAAAATGATAGGAATACAATATAATACAATATAAAACAGTAAAAATCAATACAAACATAACAAGACACTATTTACAATATAAAAAGGAGCTTATTACAATAATAGCATACAAGAACCTATCTTAACTTACCTAGTACTACTTGTAATCATTTATAAGGGATAGAGAGAAAGTCAGAAATGCTTAGGGGAAGGGGAGGGAATGTATTTCAAAATTAAAAAAAAAAGAAAAACTAGGGCTTTTGCTATAATGACTCTTTTTCCCTGGCAGCAAAAGTCTCTATGCACACTAGCTATCAAGTAATTTATTTAGAATTCCAGATTGATTTTGCAGCCCATATGGGTTTGTGTATCCCAAGCTGCCATTATCTATGTGACTGGAGTCATACCTTGCGTAGACATACCCTAAACAAAATCTCCTTGAGCATTCTGCTGCTTTGATCTACTCGTCAATAGAAACTAGTTTACAGTTGCTTCCTTTTCAGGTATTCTTTTGTTTTCATATTTAAAATCAGACACAGACTTGATGCAAATACTGAAACGATAGAATACAGAGCCAGTTAAGGGAATACCCATTTTGGATATCCCTTAAATCAGAGAACTTTTATGGTATGACAGGAATTCACTTGCTATGCTGCAAATTTATAATACCCCGGTGTGTTATACTGTAAACACAAAAAACCTCATAGTCAGTGTGTATTCACTGACAGATCTGGCAGCATGTTGAACAATATTCCTGGCACTGCGACATTGGGAAAATTTGGAAACTATTTAGGTTCTGCATTTTGGATGGGTCATAGAAGTTCTAAACCCCATGGAAGCACATGTAATGGTCTTTATGGGCTAACTATCCAATGAGGAATTGAAAAGGTCAAGGGAGTGGAAAACATGATATCCAATTAACAAAACCCCCAACTAAGGCCTGATTAACAAACCAAATTATAATCTCATAAAAATCTTTACATCTCCCATCTGTGATCAGTGGGCTTTATCCTTGCTTGTCTAGGAGCATCAACCTGATGCACCTAATGAGTCTTTAACAGGTGTAGATTACATATCATAAACCTTCTGACACCACACATTGATTACCAGGTTGACAAAAGACTTACAAAGGTATAAGTATAGGAACATCCACATCACATTGTTTTTAATTTATAAGAACATAATATGAAACCAAATGTAGATACTTTAGGGATGAAAAGCAGATTATCGAAAAGTGAAGAAAAAATGAATGGGCAGTTTTTAAGATGATGGCGTACTCATTTTTAAGATAAAATGTCAATAATTTCATTTTACAGCTCACATTTCTGAGAAGCTGGCCCAAGGATAGTCATTGCCATTAAGTGATATATTTCAAAAGTAAGTATAATGTGATGGCAAACAAGAGTCCTTTTCAAAGCTTCAACATTTAATTCTAGCAATCAGCAGGAGAGCAGCAAGTATTAAATTAAACTTGGCATTTGGAGAACAAGTGGAACAGTTGCATAGAAGAGGACAGCAGATGCAGAACAGACTATTGTCTAAATTAATATTTTTACAATAACTTTTTAACTGACTGGGCAAAAAGGATGTGCTGTAACCTGGTAGAAATAATTCCTTTACAGAGGGATGCTAGTCTTCATCTCTTGTATCTGTGTATGCAGAATAAGGTACCTATTATCTACTTGTTGCTGAGTGCATATAGAAGCAAGCTATCTGTTCTGGAGCCTGTTAAACATTCCTCCTATGGTCCACAGTATAATTTAAAAAATAATGGAAACAATCTTTGAGGACAGAATGCATATATCTTGTTATTGAGATATAAGAATATTATTTTAATGGTGCATTTATCTAATATGAATTACAGTGAAGCATTTATATTTCTTTCCATCAGTACTAAATACATTCATTATGATCCTGCAACTGAAGTGAATAGAAAATGAATTCCTAGTGATAAAATATTTAAAAAGTATTAAGAGCTCTAGCTCAGGGCATTTCTGATTTACTTGTTCTACTGATGTTTCCAGTATTTCCACCTCTAAACCAATAAATCTTTTGACTCTTCTGTGAAATCCTATGAAATATGAACTTTCATTTCTGTCCAGGAGAACTTTTACAATCTTTTCTCTGATGCACGATGAAGGGTGTTTGTACCTGAAAGCTTGCAATTAAAGAAATATTTTTGCAAAAATCTTGTTGGTCTAATAAAAGATATTACCTCTACCACTAGCACCGATTGCCTCCCCTACACCAAACATTCACAAGAACAGAGTCTTTGAAAAGAGACGGACTTCTTTATTTTAAAAGCGAGCAGCTCCCTATGCAA